GGTAAATAATGATGTATGCACAAACTTGAAACAATAGGCCTCTGGGATACAGGGATTGTGACATGGTTCAAATGGACAAAAGGCAGGGAAATAATGTTAAGAATCTTGGCTGTCGTTTGAATCTTGGTTTCCTTTGCATATCATTATAAAATAGACACTAGAGGGGAAAAGAAAGGAATAGTCAGAAACATCACAATAGAAGGCTTGTAAGTCCGTCTTCTGCCTATAACTGATTGGAATACCTAAAATGGGGATATAGCATGCCCAGTGCAAGAGGCTTCCTGTGGAGCCTTTGCATTGCATAAGACCATATGTGAATTCCTGAACAGCATCCAGAATCTTCTGAGGTGGTAAATTCCCACTTGAAAGGTCAAGCAGACCAGTCTGGAGAGGATAGAAGAACGGAAGATACTTTTTGAAAGGAAGACTGAGAGGAAAAATACAAAACAATAAAGGCAGTCTGACAGATTACTCCAAGAACAAGCAAATTTCTCACCCAGGAGACATCAAGGCAAGTGGTTGGGTCCCCTCTGGGCAAACCATCTGTCAAGACTAAGACTCAGTGAGAGTACACGAGCAGACATATGCTCAGATTGGTAACCACGTGGGTATCAGATAAGGGGAAATGAGGAAAAAACAGCAATGAAGCTGCAAGCTAAGCCCTACAATGTTCAATAGACTCCTGTGAGACAGATTTATTTGTTTCTCTGAGAGTGCATGGTACTTTCAATATGTTTCACCAACATCATAGCTCAAATGCATTGATTCTTCTAGGAACTTCCTTATTCACTGTCTGTTTTTCATTGCATATGAGATTATTGAAAACACCTCAAAGTGACATCTTTGCTTTATAACATAAAGAAATACTTTGCAGCAGATTTGTCTATTGCAATGGCTTTAATTTCTTGTCTGCTGCTTGCATTAGTGTTGATTGTGGATCCAAGCAAAATGAAATATTTGATCATTTTAATCTTTTCTGTTTTTATCATGATTTTATTTATTGGACCAGTTATGAAGATTTTTCTTTCTTTACATTGAGGTGAAATCCACACTGACCTTCATCAATAAGTATTAACCTTCATCAGTAAGTATTTCAGTCTTTTTAGCTTCCAGAAACCGAAGGTTTTATATATTTCAGGTTGTTAATAATAACTTGTTGTTAAGTGCCGTCGAGTTGGTTCCGACTCATAGCGACTCTGCACAGGGTTTCTGAGGCTGTAAATCTTTACGGGAGCAGAAAGCCTCATCTTTCTTCCGTGGAGCAGCTGATAGTTTTGAACTGCTGTCCCTAAATTTGAGGTACAACCTAATACTGTAGAAAGTATGTAATATTTGTTAGTGCCCTTGAGTTGGTTCCCACTTATAGAGACACTATGCACAACAGAATGAAACACCACCCAATCCTGTGACATCATAACAATTATTATATTTGAGGCCATTGCTACTGCCACTGTGTTAATCGATTTCATTAGGCGGGGGGCTTCCTCTTTTTTGCTTGCCCTCCACTTTACCAAGTATAATGTCCTTCTCCAGGGACTGGACCCTTCTGATAATATGTCCAAAGTGTAAGTGACAAAGTCTTACCATCCTGGCTTCTAAGAAGCATTCTGACTATACTTCTTCCACAGATTTGTTTGTTCTTCTGGAAGTTCATGGTACATATAATATCGTTCTCCCACACGATAATTCAGTTTTTACAACTTCCAATTTCCTAGATTGATACTTCATACATTCTATGCTCTGATAATTAATGGAATTTACTGCTGAGTCTCCTCATTGTGAGTTTTGCCCCATCAGCAAATTAAAGTCCTTGAAAGTTTGCTCCATTCATGTCATTAAGGTCAAATTTATTTTGAAGGCTCAGCTCTTCCCCAGTCATATGTTGGTGCCTTCCAACTCATCTTTGGGCAATATATCTGATAATGTTCCACTGCTATTCTAAGGTTTTCAGTGGTTAACCATTCAGTAGTAGTTAGCCTGTTCTTCTTTCGAATCTGTCTTAGTTTGAAGCTCCGCTGAAATCTGTGTAAATTCTGTGAGTCTGCTGGTATTTCAATGACCATAACATCCAGTATCAGAGCTTAGCTCTGATTCACATGGTTTCTAATATCAGAGCAACTCTTCAGTCACCACAGTATGACAAGCTGACAGATAAGTGGTGTCATTAACATCACTGTTGTTATTGTAAAGTAACATTGAGTCAGCTCTGATTCATAGCAACCCTATGTAGGGTTTCCAAGGAGTGGTTAAGGAGTACTGGTAGCGTAGAGGTTACGAATCGGGCTGCGAACCTTAAGGTCAGCAGTTCGAAACTACCAGCTGTTCCGTGGGAGAAAGATGATGTTTTCTGCTTCTGCAAAGATTTACAGCCTCAGGAACCCTATACAGGGTCACTATGAGTCAAAACCGACTCCACGGCACATAACAATAACAACAAAGGAGTGGTTGATGGGTTTGAACTGCTAACCTTTCAGCTGGCAATCCAGTGTTTATCCCTACAGCACCACAGAAGAAGACCTGTTCACACCAGATCCCATCATGGGCTTCATTGTTATCACATTAGATCTCATCATGAAGGTGATTAACTACATCTTAACTGCTAAACCCCTGAGAATAATGAGAGAGCAAGTGGCAACGTTCATGCCTAGAATTAACAGCTGTCACTCACGAAGAGCGAGAGGGCTCTGTAGTGTTTTTGTATCAATTTGGCTCTCTGGTTTGGCTGTTAATCACAACATCCACCATGATGAGATCTGACAATGTAATCCAATACATGATGGGATCTGACATTATTCAATCCCTTCCAGGATGAGATTTGACAGAAAGTAATCCCTTCCATGATGATATCTGCCTTGAGGAGCTAATCAGTTGAAAGGGAGATTCCTTGGGGGTGTTTATTTTTGTTGTTAAGTGTTGTTGAGTCCTTCCGTGGGGGGCGTGGCCTTGTTCAAGTTATAAAGGGGCATCCTGGCAAAGATCTGTAGTTGTTGACAGGCTCTGGGCCCTGCATCCAGCTCTCATCATCTGCCCTCCTGTTCTTGCAACTTGAGCCAGCAGCCTGGTATATTGCCTGCTGATTTTGGGATTCCTGAGTCTCAGCGACCTTGGAGCCAGGAGTCTGCCATTTCCCTGTTGATCTTGGGATTCACCAGCCTTCACAATCTGAGAGTCAGCAGTCTGCTCTCTGTTCTGCTGACTTTCAGGACATCAGTGGAAAGAAGTCTGCAGCCTGCAATCTGACCCACAATTTTGAAGCTTATCAGCCTGTACAAGTAAGTAAACTATTTTCTTGAGCTCAATCTAACAACAACATCTCACTGGTTTTCCTTTTCTAGAAAACCCAGTCTAAGACAGATCTCTAATTCCTATAAAACTGCTAGAAACAGGGCAGGAAATGTTGGTTATTATACATTTTTATCTATGCAAGACTCACTGCCAATTTTTTAGAAATTATAAGAATCAAATGGTGGTGTGGGTTGTGTGGGGTCATAGAACAGAAAGCCTCATCTTTCTCTCATGGAGTGTCTGGTAGATTCGAACTGCTGACCTTACAGTTACCAGCCAAACTTGTAGCTCATTATGCTACCTTGTGTGGTGGTGGATGTGGTAGTGTGTCATGGAGTAAGTTCCAACTCATAGAAATTGTGTGTTGTAAAGGTTTTACGAGATTGTAAATCTTCATAGAAGCAGAAAGTCTCATCTTTCTTCCCTGGAGTACCTGGTGGACTCGAACTGCTGACATTCCTCAGTCGCATTTTGAGTGCTTTCCAACATGAAAGGCTCATATTTCAGCTATATCTGACAATATTCGGGTTTTATCTGATAGTGTTCCACTGCAATTCATAGGTTTTCAGTGGCTACAGATTCAGAAGTAGTCGACCTCATCCTCCTAGCCTATTTTAGTCTGAAAGCTTAGCTGAAACCTGTCTACCATGGGTGTACCTGGCTGGTGTTTAAAATACCAGTGGAATAGATGCTAGCATCACATCAACACACATATGACAAAGTGACAGATGAGCATATGTAGACATAAAGTTGCTTATAATGTACGTTTTGTGTTAAATGTTAAGTATCGTTCAGTCAATTTCAACTCATAGCCACCATACAAATCTTTCTGGGCACAGAAAGCCTCATCTTTCTCCTTCTGAGCAGATGGTGGGCTCAACCCACTGACTATGTTATTCACAGTCCAGAGTTTATTCACTTGAGTCACCACCTTCCCACATACTTGTTTAATGCCTACTATTGTTAAGTTCCATTGAGTCGGTTCTGAATCAGAGCGATCCTGGTATAGGATTTCCAAGGAGTGGCTGGTGAGTTTGAACAGTTGCAATTCAATCCAACCTTGAGGTCCAGCACATTAACCTGTAGCACCACACCATGACTCATACAAGTAAAAAAATATAGCTGCAGTGTAGTGAATTGCTTTACATAGACCTCTGGCTTTGTTTAATCTCACAAAATGTTTAAGTGCAAGAGTCCTGGTGTAGCGCTGTGGGCTAATGCGTCAAACTGCAAACTTGTTTGACCTGCAAGGTCGGTGGTTCAAGCTCACCAGCTGCTCCTTGGAATGTCTATACAGGGCACTTAATAACAATATACAAATAAAGGAGTCCTGATTTGGCACTATAGGATCAGCACTGGACCATAATGTAGGTTGGCCTGCAAGGTCAGTGATTCAAATATACCAACCATGCTTTGAAAACCCTAGACAGGGTCACTGTGAGTCTGAACCAACTTGACAGCACTTAACAACAATACAAATAATAAAAGTTAGGTTTGGGGCTATTCAACACAATGTGGGGTATTCAAACCCACCAGCCGCTGTACGGGAGTAAGACAAGACTGTGTGCATAGAGATTTAGACACTATTAATCAAAATCAACATAAGCTGTGTATTTTGTTGTTGTTAATACAAATAAGGTACATAGAGCCTTCTGGCTGGCATGGTGAAAATAATGTTTATGAAACCCTAACCGGTGTATTGTTCATCCTACTAGGCTTATCCCACCAGGAGGAGACCTCACTATCATTAATAAAGAAGAAACAGGTCCAGCCTGAGTGGGAATCGCAACAAGTGTATCAGATGCAATCAGGTCTCATTGTGCTCAAGGACGGTGGGAAACCTGAGTCCATGGGAGGCACAGAAGACCACAAGAAGAACCTGGAGTCTGAGACAATGGAGCTGGAGGAGCTACTGATGGAGGTTGAGGCTGAGCCAGAGCTACCACGGAAAGAGGAACTTTCCCAGCCTGCCATCCACCCAGGAGCTCCAGAACTGAAGGAGGGAGACCCGGAGGAAGGGAGCATTGATAACAGGGAGCTGGAAGATATCAAAGTTCAAGTCAGAGACTTGGAGGAGATCGCTGCCAAGCTAACAGAGATGCAGTTGGAGTTGCAGCACCAAGATTCCCCACCAAGCAATAAAGTTCCAGTGACCACATCCATGGAGAACATGAACACTGATGCCCGATCTATCTACGTTGGTAATGTGGACTATGGTGCAACATCAAAAGAGGTGGAAGAACACTTTAAAGACTGTGGTTCAGTCAACCGGGTAACCATCCTCTGTGACAAATTCAGTGGTCATCCCAAAGGCTTTGCATATATAGAGTTCTCAGACAAGGAGTCGGTAAGCACTTCCCTGACCTTAGATCAGTCCCTTTTCAGAGGAAGGCTAATCAAGGTGATCCCCAAACGTACCAACAGACCGGGTATCAGCACCACAGACCGGGGTTTCCCAAGATCTCGCTACTGTGGTCGTACCACCAACTACAGTTCTTATCCTCCATTCCAAGGTGGTTTTAACAGTGGGACCTGGGGTCGGGGTAGGGGTCGTGGTCGTGGTCAAGTCTACAGGGGTCGGGCATACCGAGGCCGAGTCTACAGGGGCCGAGTAAGAGCCACATCATGGTATCCACCTTACTAAAGTGTGTAAACAAAAATATTTTCATGTGAAAAAAATGTTTTAAAAAATACAATGTGAAATATGAGATCATCCCACCACTGTTGAAAAGTCTGTTTTGGATAGTAGGGGCAGGTGTAAAGAGTGGGGAATGAGGGCTGCTCATTCACTCATGGACACATCTGAAACTGCTCCCCAGATATCTCTGTCCTACTTCAACTTCTTGGGAACTGCTCATGGATGGGTGGGGTGGATGTTAGGAGGGGTCTTTGTTTTTGTTTTTAACCGGAACTTTGTAAGGACACACAATGAATCTGATTGTTACCACCTGTCATGGATTGAGTTGTGTATCCCCAAATCTGTGTCACCTGGCTATGCCATGATTCACATTGGTTTGGCTTTTATGTAAGCATGTGACTTGACCACTATGCCATGATACAATTTTCCCCTTTGATGTAACCTGATAAATGTATCCTCATTTTGTGAGGGATTTTGTTTTCTTTTGATATGTATGATGAATAAAGTTTGTTTTTGAAGTTGAAAGAAAGAAGGCCTGGGATGTTTCCTTTGGAAGTTTAAAGGAATTGGATTCTGTAAAATGCTTAGAAAAGTATTTTTATTGTTTTTAGGTGCGTTCGAGTTAGTTCTTCCCCATAGCCACCCAAGGTAAAACAGGAGAAGGCTGTCCTGCCTCCCAGTTATTCCTGTTTTACTCTCGGTCTCAGTTTGCATCATTGAGGTCTTCCTCCTTCACACTTACCTTTACTTCATCAAGCATGCTGTCCATGTCCAGGGATTGGTCCCTCATGCTATCGTGCCCAAAGTAAGTGAGACTAAGTCTCACCACCCTCCCTTCCAAGGAACATCACGGCTTCCGTTCTTCTAACACAGATTGGTTCATTCTTCTGACAGTCCATGGTACATTCAATATTCTTCACTAAAACCATAATTCAAATGCATCAATTCATCTCTTATCTACTTTATTAAGTATCAAGCTTTGCATGTATGAAACACCAGGACACAATTTAGACGTCTTTGTGGGATCATTCATTGCTTTTTAACAATTTAATGAGTGTTTCACAGCAGATTTACCCAATGGCGTTTGACGTCTTGACTGATGCTTCCATAGCATTAATTGTTGCTGTTGTCAGATACCATCAAGTTAGTACTGACTCATAGAGACCCTACATACATCAGAACGAAACATTGTCCGGTCCTGAGCCAACCTCACAATTGTTGCCACACTTGAGCCCACTAATGCTACCACTTTGCCAATCTTTCTTTCTGGGGTTTTCCTCTTTTTCTCTGACCCTCCACCTTACCAAACATGATATCTTTCTCCAGCGACTGATCCTTCCTGACAATATGTCTGAAATATGAGAGACGAAGTTTGGCCATCCTGGCCTCCAAGGAGCACTCTGGCTGCACTTCTTCAAACACCGGCCAAAGAGCCAGAGATTGTTCCCCACCTCAGGGATCCAGCAAAAGTTGGCCTGAAGGTGTCTACTTGGGCAAAATCCACAGCACAAAAAGCAAGGGACCTTTAGCTCAGTGCACTGTAAGGAAGCATGCAACCATTTCTGCTTGCCTCCGCAAATGGCAGACCTGTTTTTCTACCAATTGTTTGGTCTTAGTTGTTCTCGGATAATTGCTCTGTGTACCTGGAACCAGGACTGCCTTGGAGAAACTTTCTCTTTCCTGCTTCTGAGCACTGTATAATAAGCCAGCTACCAGGAATCCTGGCTGCTCGATACTCTTATCAGAGGTCGACAGCCCACCTGGCCCAACTTTATTCTTAATCTTGTCTCTGTTGTTTTCTTTTAATCTCCCGTTGAGAACTTCACAGATGCGCAGGCCGCAGCACCAATCTGTTGGTTCTTTTGGCAGCCCATGGCACTTTCAGTATTCTTCTCTAACCATAACTCAAATGCATCTATTCTTCTATGTTGTTGTTGTTGTTGTTATGTGCCATGGAGTCGGTTCC